GGGCTCCCGCCCTCCATGTTCTGGGTCTCCGTGCAGGAGGAACAGAAGGGAAGCTTCTGTGATCAGTCCTCCCTGGCCAATCGGGGAGCTGGTCATTGCCTCACAGAGAAGGACACGGAGGCCCAGGGTGGCTGGGATGTACGCCCAGGCCCACTGCCCTGCACAATCCTCTCCGCTCAACCCGCCCATCTTGGGTAATTCTGGTGTTTGGATCTAGCTCTTTCTCAGTTTTTGGCAGAGTCCCCCAGTGAAATCCTTCCGGGGGCCGAGCGTGTGTTGGCAGCGGAGCCTCCGCCAGGCCTGAGCAGAGCCCACCTGGCCAGGTGTTCCCTGGGGTGTTCTACTGCTGTGTGCTTTGTAAAAATGGCCACTTTGAGCCCCCATACCTTGCTGGTGGGCACCAGTGTCATCCCATTTTATAGAGGTGAACACTGAGGCCGAGGGGAGCTACACGCCAAGGCCAAATGAGAAGCAAGCACCCCAGGGACCGCACGCCTCCCAGCCCAAGGCCTGGCCCAGCACCGCCCTGGGCACGGCTGTGCAGCCCCTCGGCCCCTTCTGGCTCCTCTCTGCAGCATTTCCCCGGAAAGCCGTACGTATTTTTGCGGAGCTGGTTCTCTGCCCGGATCGCAGCCGTGGTCCTAGCGGTAACTGACTGCTCTCTAATCAAATTGATTTCCATTCCAATGAGCCCCGCCATCCGCTCCATTCCAGGAATGCTGCTTTAGCAGACGGAGCTCGGTATGAATGCGCCATCAAACTGCACAATACGCAGCGCACCGCCGGCCTCTCTGCCGCCCAGTGACAGCTAAATGGCCTGAGTGCTCAGGCCTCGTCACTCACTGGTGCATTCCCGCTCGGGAGGGGCACACGCTCCAGGCTCATCTGCATCTGACAGGAGGGCTTGGTATGTATTCAGAGGGGCAGAGTGATAGGACTTCCTTCCCATCGAGTCCCACCGGAGCCTCGCCCGTCCCCGGCCATTGCCTTCGTTCCTGCAGTCCCTGCTGCTCCCCTCGGCTGTGGCCCAGCATGCAGCTGGCTGGCCACTTCCTCTTGCACGCTCCAGCCTGGGGCTGAAGGCCACTGGAGTTTCCACATGGCCGACCCAAGAGTCTGCTCCGTCTTTGCTGTTTCTGGGTCTGCTTGGACCACTGCCTCAGGGGCACAGGAAGGGGCGGGGGAGGGTGGTCCTGAGGCTGTGATCGCTTTGGGCCCCGTGGTTCCTAGAGCTTGTGTGGAGGGACAGACCAGAAGCCCCTCAGGGCTGGCAGGGACGTTCACATTCTGCCTACTTCAGGTGGGTGAAGAGAGGGGTGGCCTGCCCAAGGCCCCAGGACCCCTGCCATTCAGCTCTCTGCCTGGCACCGCCACCTGCACCCTCAGGTGGTGCTCCCAGAAGCTGCAGCAACTTGGGGGTGCCTGTACAGCTGGGGGACCCCCCGGGACTATCCAGGCATTCGTGGGTGACCACACCTGTGGGTGGGGTGATGGGGGTCTCCGAGTGACTCCTCCTCTGTCCCATCAGAGGGAGTCCTGAGTTTTAACGCCAATGCAGTATCCCCTCAAAGCTTCCCTGCTGACCATAGTGGCTCCCAAGCCAGGGACTCCAACAAGAGGCGACCCCCATTCCTCCTCCCCTGGGTGCAAGGAGCTGGAGCTGGGCGGGGTAGGCACACAGAGAACCAGGAGGAGCAGGAGGAGGCTCCACGGGTTCCCCTGGCACTGTCAGGAACCAAGGCCGCCAGCCCTGCGGCTCCAGGGAGGCACAGGCGCCAGCCCCTCTGTGCTCGGGCCTGGGGACCTCTTTCTGTCACAGGCACTGTTACGGTAGAGGAGGGATGCTGCCGTCAGCTTCCTGCCCCCTGGCCAGCGCCTGGGCTAAGTTGGCATGCTGTGGCCGTGGCAGGCGCAGGATGGCCGTGGGCGTGGGAGTGCAACGGCTGACTGGGATTTGCTACCACGCAGGTCAGAGGAAGCTTTTTTTTAACCCTCATCCATCTGGCAAAAAGGGAAACCATTTGAAAGCCCAGGTGTTCGTAAGGGGGCAGCATGCGGTGCTGGTAAGGGGGCGTTGGTAGGGGGGTGTTGGTAAGGGGGCGGCAGGCGGGCACATCTCCCTCGAGGACCATGGATGCCTCTCGGGTGGGCGGTGAGGATGCCCCCACCCCTGTGCTCCCACGAGCCCAGCAAAGGGAAGCTGAGGAAAGACGCCCGGAGCACCCCGATCTGGATGTGGCCAGTGTGCCAATGCCACGTGAGGCCGTGCGCACCTGGGTCCCTGCATTCTCTGTGCGCGAGTCTGCTGTCCCAGCAGAAAGCCAGGTCTCTCCACCGGAGAGTGTGGGCCGTCTGCACCTGGGTCCCTGCATTCTCTGCGCACACAGTCTGTGCTGTAAGAGGAAAAAGCTAAGTCTTTCCACCAGTGTGTGGGCTGTCCTTTTTGGGCAGGAGGGATGCCCTTACGACCTCACTCCGTGTGGCCAGGATGTTGAATGCAGAGTCTAGGGCCAAGCCAGACCCCCAGAGCCAGATCTGTGAGCTAACAAGATGCCCAGGGGGTTGAGGCACAATAAATGTGAGCAGCCCTGCCCCACCTGGAGGCCCCTGCCCCCAGCTTAGCATGCCCATTCTGCCCAGTCTGGACATCCCTGCGTCCTGGGTCTCAAGGGTGAGTGGGAATGGCGCTTGGCAGAGACCTAGTTCCTTTGCTGGTTCAGCCTGGCTGTTTGCCTACTGAGGGGTCCGTGCACTGAACCCAAACTCCCCCACCCCCGCCATGGCCCCTCCATGAGGCCTGTGTCCACCGCAGTCTGTCCAGCCAGCCTACCCCTCACAGGCCACCTGGGGGGATGGACACAGGGCAGGGCTGGATGCCTCCTTGTCCCTCTGTAACAGCAGAATCAGACTGGGCAGTGGGTAAGGGCAGGGCTGGATGCCCCTTCCCCTCTGCCTTCTGTAACAGCAGGGTCAGATCACGCAGTGGATGAGTTCAGGGCTGGATGCCCCACAGCCCTTCTGCCCTCTGTAACAGCAGAATCAGGCCGGGTGGTGGGTGAAGGCAGGGCTACTCTCTCACTGGCAGCCAGGGAGCCTCCATCTCCTCTTCAGAGTGGGGTCTGTCCATCCCATGGGTGCCAGAAGGCACGAGTGACCCAAAGTGGCTCAGGAGGAGGGTGATCACAGGGCCCCAACCCAGCCCCTGGGCCTCCCCACAGGCGCCCTTCCCTTCCCAGACTCTGGGCTCAGCTCCCTCCCCGGCCCCTCCCCCACCCAGGGCTCCTGACACTTTTGTGCAGAACCACAAATGGCGGGAACAAAGCCATTGGTCCTGCTGACTCAGCGCCCTCCGTCCAAACTGACAAAGGGGCGCTGGGAGGGGGAGGCCATGGATTCAGAACCGAAGAGGCCGATGCAAAGCTTCTGATGCCTCAGCCGGTTTCTGTCAGGGCCGCAAGGGCAAGGCGGCCAGCCCAAAGGGTGGGGCACGGGGGAAGGGGGACAGGGGACGGCATCAGCAGCCGGTGCCCGGCTCCCCCTCCTCTTTGGAAAACCAGGGCTGACTCAGCACCTCCCAGAGTGGTGGGATTCCTGCGGTGAGCTGGGTCACTCTCCATGACCCTCCCTGCCCTCACTGGGCTGCCCAGGCCTCAGCAGTCCTGGCGGCTGGGGGAGCCTGGGACCACCTGGGTGGGGTATTTGGGATTGCAGGTATGCATCCAAGCTGTCTGTCCTCACCGACCTCCACACCAGCCAGGCAGGTACCTGGACACTTGAGTCCACTGAGTGCAGGTGGACGAACAGACCAGGTGTGGAGGGCACGTGCCATTTGTCTAGGACGACGGCCTGGCAGACTGGGGCTAAGCAGCTAGCAACAGCGGAGGGCGGGCCTGAGAGCTGGGAGCTCTGCTCCTTCTCCAGGCAAGCTGGGTCCGACGTACTTACCCTGGAGGCCTGGGGCTGGGCTTGGCAGGTGGGATGGGAACCAGAACGCTCCGTGCTCCCAGGACCCCACCGGGGAACAGACCCCTTGGGCAATCCTGGTGGGGACAGTGTGGTGATGTGGCTCCTGTAGAAGGCAATGGCGCAGGGTGACCCCAAACCCGCAGTCCCATTGCCACAGGGACCCTGCCATCCAGGGGACCCATTTGGAAACCACATCCATCCATTTAAGATGCCAGAGGCTGCCCCATGCTGGTGCCAGGGGATCCTCTTCTAGGAACGTGGCCATGAAGCCCTGCCCAATAAATCCACCATTTCCCTCAGGAAAAGCAGGTGCCATGAGCCCCCGCGGAAGGGGAATGGAGGCCATGGAGGGGTGCCCGTAAGGTGATCAGGGATGGCCCCCTGGATGAGACCCTCACAGGATGACAGGAAGTGGAGGCGTCTGGACCATGGGGGCGTCCAGAGGAAGGTGTTTCCAGACATCGGAGGTGCCCATCAAGGGCCCGGCAGGACCGCAGGTCTAGGGGATACAGATTACAAAGCACTCAGCCTGTCCTTGGGCATACGGCACAGAAGCAAAGGGGAGTGGGGCTGGCCACACACCCTGAACCCCAAGACATCAGCCGCAGAGCTGAGAGAAGGGCACCTTCCTTTTGGGTGGCAGGTGAGGCAGATGAAGGGGCTGCCCCACTTCTCAGACAAAACCACCAAGGGCCTGAAAAGGAGAACCCCCTATCCTGGCCAGGTCACCTGGGGGTCTGGACAGGGCCCCCTTTAACAGGCACAGTAATGCCCACAGGACATCCTGCCTACCCTGCCTCCTTCCTCGTAAAACACTGGGGAGAACAAGAGATGGGTCATGGGGCCTTGAACCCCACAGCCAGATCCTTACCCTTTTGTGTGGACAGCTGGCCTGGGGATGTCGCCATCAGGGGCGGGGGTCCTGAGGTTGTCCCCTGGGGGACTGCTGACCACCCTGCCTGCCTTCCACAGCCCAACCTTGGCTTCTGTGTCTCCCCCAAACCCCACTGGGTCATGCCAAGTCTAGGAAACGAAGGTTTGAACTGACTTTATTATTTTGTAAATGTGAATTTTACAAAGCGCTTTACAATTAATGATCACATCCTTTTGTTTGCCTGTCATGGATTTCCACTGTCTGAAACGGCTCTGAGCGCGCTTGAAGCCCTCGGTTTCCCTGGTGGCTTTTGGATGTTTCCGTTTTAGTTATTGATACAATGTCAGCCATGGCTAAAAAGTAACAGTCTTGACTCTACCGAGTAACAGCACAAAAAAGAGAGCGAGGGCTCAGGAAAACGAAACACAGGCTTCCTCCTTAAAAAAAGACAAAAAAAAAGCGAAGCATCTTCTGCGGCTGAAATCTAACTCAGTGGTACTGTGAAACCTTCCTTGACAGCACAGGAAAATTTATTTTTAACAGTCGTGAGTTACAGTACTTTAATCTCTAAACACACTCTTTCAAACAACCGTCTCCTTTTTAAGTCTTTTTCCAAACATTCCGTCCGAAGGATGGATATTCTACTCGCACCCCAGGCCATCCAAATGTTCAAGTCAAAAATATTTATACATTTTATACTTAGTTCTTTTTTTTTTTTTTTTGTCTGCTAAAAATAGTATTGCGAGTTTTGGCTTCTTTTGACATAAAAATCACAATCATGTGCAAAACGCTAACAAGGGAAGCGATTGATCAGAACACAAGCAGGTCGTCCAATCTGAATGCTTTAGATTCTGCATAATTTTCCTTTCCTTTTCTTCTTCCAAAGAAACAAAACAAACAAACAAAAAACCTTTGCCATTTTAGAAACATCTAGTACCAACCCCTAAGTGCTCCGGTGCAGTGATGCACGCACGCTCACACACGCGCACACACACGCACGCACTCACACACGGAGCCGGCTGGCTGACATAATGACAAATTTATGCAGCAGCAACATTCTGAAACAGTAGGTACAGCTGGGGACAGCTATGCGCTCTCACGTCTGAGTTTGGGACTGGCTGCCGGCAGAGGCAAACAGAGGTTTCTTGGAGTTTTCAGTTGGTTCAAGGGCCATAGACTTTTCCACTTGCAGCCAAGATGTTTCCATAAAAATCACCCTTCTGAGGGGAACCCAGGCAGTACACATGGCTGGGTGGGGCAGGGAATGGGCTTGCAGTTCCGGCTGTCTAATGAGGACAGGTCAGGGTCAGGCACACTAGCGTCCCCTCCGAGGAGCCAGCCCCGAGGGCTGACCAGCTCTCTGTCCCTACCTTCCGCCTTCCTCCTGGCTCCAAACACAAATGCCACAGAACGACTCTTCCTGGAGGAAACAGGAGGCCAGGCAGCCGGCTCCTCCCTTCTAGGAGCCCCGACCTGCGAACACCAGGACACCCAGGCGGGTCCTGCCAGCCTCTCACCCACAGCTTCGTCCACATTCAGGGGCAAAGTACGACAACCAAATCCAATGCAAAGTTAAGTGACGACAGAGAACTCGGGTGGGCAGACACAGTGCTGAAAACGAGACAGAATTCAAGTACCGAGGCGCCCAGCCAGGCATGGCCTGCCAGGCTCACAGTATCTGTCACACCTCCGGTCCCTCCTGGACCTCTGCATGCGAGCCAGCTGCCTCCTGGGCCTGTCTCCTTGGGGAGAGGAGGGAAGGGCCGGGCAGGGCGGGAGAGGCGCTGGATCCCAGGCCCACCACCCGCCACACGGCAGCCCCGACACGGTCCAGTCCCTTCTGTCCTCCTCAGAAGGCGCAGAGATAACGTAGCTCTGTAATAGATTCTCTATAGGATATGCGTATTGCTAATAGTCAGGCTTGGGGATAAAGGTGCGGACATCTCATAAATACTGATGGCTCGCCTCTCTACAGGGTCTGGATGAGTCACGGTCACACTCACAGGACGGGACAACCCCGGATTCTGGAATTAGTCATCTTGTAAACAAAGAAGGGAAGGGTCCGGCTTTCTTAATTGGTTTCCTTGGGAAAAATGATCAAAGGATGCTAAGGCACTCTGGAAGGCCCCTCCGAGCCCGGCTGCCGCCCCCCCCCACCCCACGGTACATTCAGGACAAGGAGGGAGCGAACAGCAGGTCCGCTCAGCAGCCATGCACGTCCACAAACACTCCTGACTCACGTCCGCCGTGGGACACATTAGTGCAAAATGCTCGGCCTGACCCGCCCGGGGCACAGGGAGAGCTCAGAACCCATTCACATTAAATTATTATGTACGTTTTCCCTATAGCTCTTGCCTTCCTTACCCAGAAAACAACAGACGGCGATGACAAACCAGCGAGGCAGGGGCCCCAGGACATTGTGCAGGCCTGAGCCGAGGTCAGGAGTCCTCTGGCGGCGGCCAGCGGCTCCCTCCCTGTCCTGGCCAAGGGTGGGGGGCACCCACTCTGGAGTGGAGGACAGAGACAGCCCTTCTGTCAGCAGTGCCAGGCCCCCAGGATGGTCAAATTAAAGTGCAAATTTGGGTGTGGGGCAGATGAAGGAAACTCCAGACAGAACTCAGGGCAGCTCACCCTCACCTACCCGCCCCTGCACCACCCCGTGGCCTCCTCCCAGCTCTGAGCAAAGCCTGGTCCAGGTTCCCAGGGGGCCCCATGGGGGCTCCAACCCCCCCCCCGGGCCCAAGACAGGGGAGGAAGAGGCAGAGAGAGGCTCCCTCCAGGCTGGGTGTTTCTGAGTTCAGCACTGCTGAGCCACCTCCAGTCCTAGAAACGCAGGCCGTGGTTGTGGGCCCTGGATGTGGGCCCTGAGGAACAGGTGGCGGGGCCGAGGTTGGCATCCACAGTGCCTGCCCATGGTCCCTTACCTCCTTCTGGAAAGCAACATATTTTACTGGAGGGCAGGCACGTGCTGGGCCTGGCTGGAGGAAGCCCGGAGCCCGAGTGCAGTCTGTAGAGGCAGCCCCACCAGAGGTCCCCCAGGACAAGCCATGGGGTGGGCTGCGTGGCAGAAAGGAGCCGCCCAGTGGGAATGTGCTTCACCCACACCCTGAAAGTCCCCAGGCCAGGGCACAGCACATGTTCCTCCCCTGGGGGACGGCCTCCACTTTATGGGTTGCAGCAGTGGGGAAGTGGGGTTCGAGGCTTGGCCACCACTCGCCAGCCTGTGTGCACACGGCTGCCGGGCGCAGGGCTGTGCTGGTTTTGCGTGAGCAGATGAGGAAACTGCGATCCGGAGGGACAGAGGTGAGCAACAGACCTTTCAAGTCTTGGGATGGGGGGTTCCTCTGGCCACACCTAGGAAGGAAGGCTGCCCCCGGACAAGGGCACGGCCCCTAAAACAAAAGGGAGAGGCACCTGGGCAGGTGGCCACACCAGCACTTCACACAGGCTGGGGCCCCCACCGTTTAAAAAACAATAATTAAATTTCAAAGGAAGCACTCCAGCCTCAAACCAACCAGCCCCATCTTCCATGGGCCCTTCCTCCACTGTCCCTGGCCCCCAGCATGCAGCCCCAACCCACTGTCCCCTACCAGTGCCCACACCTGCAACTGCCCCAGCCCAGGCCTGTCCTGGTCACCCCCGCCTGCAGCCTCAGGCACCCTCCATTGGCGAACACCCCAAAAGGCAGATGGGGAGCCCAGCACCAGAAGGACCACTCGCATCCTGGCCTAGCCCTAGCCGCCATCTCTTGCCCGACTGGAACCCCCTCCCCAGGCCTGGCCCTGAGCTCAGCTCCACACATACTGGTAACCCATCCGGGACCCCCTTTCCCCCCAGTGGGAGACGAGTGGTCCCCAGCCCCAGGTGGGGGAGGCAAGGGGATGCGCCCTGACGGCCACAGATGATCCGCCCCAAGCCATGGTGGCTGGGGACAGTGACACCCATCCCACCCAAAGTTTTTGCTCTATTGAGTCTGAAAGTTTCTAAACCATATGTGAAATAGATCTAGGTTACAACAAAACCTAAAAAAACAAGACAAGCATAATCCCAAAGTGGCTGAGGCGGCAGAGGGCGGCGTGGCTACATCAGCTGTGCACGTCCCACGGGTGGGACCGTGGGAGGCCAGGCGGGGTCAGTGGTGCCCTGGGGGTCCGGGGACCGAGGGGCTGCAGAGCCAAGAGGGATTGGGCAGAACAAGGACGGGGCGTGGGGGCAGAATAAAGTACCCTTTTCTCCACCCCTGAGGGGTGGCCACAGCCATCACCGCCCCCTCACCACGCCCCCTGCACACGCGCACACGCACACACACACACACTCGTGCACACACCCCACACAGGTGGAGGGCCCTGTGGGCCTGGCCCCGAGTCTCAGAAAGAAGGAAAAACGAGGAGTTAGGGCCCTGGCGCCTGAGCCCTGCCCTGCCGCCCCAGAGGGGTTCCATGGGTCAGGAAGCAAGGGTCAGTGACGCACCGCCCAGCCCCCATACCATAGGCCGCCGCCGGCCCCTGCTTCATCTTCCGGGCAGAAGGAGCAGGAAGGGCGGGGAGGAAGGGGCAGGGCTGGGCACCAGGGGCCTGGCGGCCGCCGGCCCTCCCCAAGAAGGGGGAGGGAAGCTACACTTGGAGACTGACCTTGTGAATATCAAAAGGGAGCCCTGGCCCTTCCTCGCAGGAGGCTGCCAGTGGCCTAATTGTTTACAGTATAATGAATGCATTTGTTTCCTTCATCAATTTTAAATACAAGCAGAATAAAAATCACATTTTTCTCAGGCAACAGTAGCAGTTCAGTAGGTAAGTGGCTTGATCACATTTGTTTGTATTAGTATCGCATGCAAGCAGCTCTAGTACGCGGTCCCTTGCGCAGCCACCCAGCTCCGCTTACAGAGTCCCTGCATAGGTGCCCTCCGGCCTCCGGGCCACGGCCGCCGGCGTCTGGGGCCTGCTGGGGCTGCCCCCACCCTGCTCGAAGGGCTGTGGGGGGCTCTGGCCGCCGGCGGGCAGAGGCTCGGAGGCAGCCACCTCCTGGATGACCGAGCCAGCCCCGTCCACCTCCTCGCCGGCGTCGAAGGCAGGGTTGGCGGCGGCACTCAGGTCAACATTCACGGCGTCAGTTCTCAGAGCCACGATGGTGGCGGCGTCGCCCCGCCGCTCGGCATAGATGCGCTGCTCGAACACCTGTGCCGTGGTGGCGGGCGGGAACTCGGGGTCGAGGGGCGCGCTGGCGGCCGAGGAGCCCATGACCGTGCGGTACATCTCCACGCCCTCCGGCAGCATGGACTTGATCTTGGGCAGCCAGCGCTTGCGAACGCGGCGGGCGTTGGTGCACATGTCCGCGGCGATCACATTCATCTCACTCTCCTTGAAGCTGGGGGCGAAGTTCTGACAGTACACTGTGAGGACGGGGCGGCATGAGCTCAGCCACCTGCCCACCGAGTGGCCCACCCCTCCCCAAGGCCACAGGACCATGGCACCCTGGATGAGCCTCCTTGGCCACTCCTGAGGCCCATGGGGACCATGTGACCACCTGGGGGTTCCCGGGCTCAGCCAGATGACCAGAGGTCACTGCTTGGCCTGGGAGGCCTCTCCGCCCCATTCCACTGGAACGGTCTCTGGCCTGGTTGGGCCCTGAAGCCTTGGCTGCCTGCCAGCTGTGAGGCTCAGGCCCGTTTTCAACCCCTCCAGGCTTCCCCAGCCCCACCTGCTAAACAGGAACTGGTCAGAGGATCCCCACCTTGGGAGCAACAAGAAGTGACGCGGTGGCTTGTGGAGACCCCTCCCTGTCCCAGTCCTGGCCTGGAGGAGGGGAGCGACAGAAGGCGTCACCTTCACCACTTCAGGGACACTTGCCTTCTTCTCCATCTCCACCAGGAGCCCAGGCCAGTGCTGGGCCATTCTCACGATGGCACCAAACCCAGAGGCAGGTCCTAGGGGCCATGTCTGCCTCGGTCCTTCCCAGAATCTTCCCAGAGCCCCGGCTGCCACCCCATGCTTTGGGACTGTAATTGCTAGCTGCAAAGGGCCCTTTTTGCTCTAAAACAGAATTTGCCTCACAAGGTTTTTTTTTTTTCTTTTTAGGAAAAAAACAAGATAGTGCTTCTTGTGCTGAGGGCTGCGGGAGGCTGTGCTCCTGGCCACCTGGTGCGAGCCGGGTAGCAGGCAGCCTCTTCCACATCTGGGGTGCGGGCCGGGGGCGGCGGTCTGCCCCGGAGATGGACCGGGCTCCGCCCCCACACGCCCAGGAGCGGGAGGCAGAAGCCGGCCGAACAGATGGCAAAGGCTCAAAATAACCGCAAAATGTAAATAAGGGGTTTTGTTCAAAAAGGAAAATTAGATCTATTTCACATATTAAAATAGTTTCGCAGCTGAATTCATCACGCTTGGAAACCTACCAAGAACGTTAACACCTCGAGACCTGGCTTCTGAGAGCTGCTCTTTTCTAGGTCCTCAATCTTCCCCTCAATCCTGCAGCCATGCTCGGCCCCCGGGGGCAGAAGCTGCAGGTGGCCAGGACCACCCCCAGGGCCACCCTGTCCTCCCCTGGCTGGAATCCGAGCCCAGCCCCTGTCCCCCACCCCCAGACTTACGTTTCACAGCGTTCAGGACCCGGCTGTCCAGTGGCTTCCGGCTGGGGTCGCTGGTGGACGAGCGGATGCCGGTCCCACAGCTGTTGGCCAGGGTGTTCCTGGTGGAGGGACCAGAAGAGCAGGCAGGATGAGGATGACAGGAAGGGAGCCTGGAGGTCACGCCCGTGCAAATGCCCTGCTGGGAGGCCACCTGGCCTCACCCTTGGCTGGTTTGTGTGCCCCAGGTCGGGGTCCAGTGGCAGGAGCTGGCCCAACCACCCTCTAAGGGACGGGACAAAGGAAAAGCATTGGGGCGGAGAAGGTGACTGGGTGGCAGGGCTGCAGGGTGACCGGGTCAGTCCCGAGCCTTGTCCGAAGGGACTCATCCGAAGGGACTCGGGGGTGTCTGAGGAAGCGGCTGTGTCCTGGAGAAGGGTTCTCGGCCCATCCACACGACGGAGTAAGTGCGGCTCTTCGCTCTTTTTTGTTGTGGGGGTTGTGTCCATAAAACCCTTTGAGAAAGGCCACGAAAGACGGCCCCTCCAGGACATGAAGTCAGGAATTCGAGGGGGCTTTCAGTACCCAAACCCTGGACAATCACACAGCTCACAGCTACGGGAGCCACCGTGCCCTCTAGCACCCCTGCCCCCACCTACCTGTCAAAGAAGGTGGCCAGAAGCCTCCGCAGCAAGACCTTGTGCTTCACCCCCGCGCAGAGGTGGCAGTTCATCAGCTGGCCGCGTGTGATGTAGACCCCAGAGCCTGCAGCCACCACACAGAAAAGGGGCTCATGGCCTTCCCGGGACACTAGGGCCCGAAGAGGCACAGAGAGGGGCGAGGGGGAGGAGACGCTGGAGGCCTTTAGAACTTTTTCTTGGGCAGAAGCAATTTGAGGTCCCACCTGCTGGTCACCAGGGGAGGCCATGGCCAAGGCCAGCTCCAGCAGGTCCCAAGTCACACGTGGAATTAAGTGGGGGATGGGGAAAGCCACAGCGCCCACCCTCCCCAGTGAGCCCCAAACTCCATGCACTCCCTGCTACACGGAGACCTCGGCCTCAGCCCCTCCCTGGGAACACACTTTGTTGTTGTTTAGAGACGGGGTCTCGCTCTGCTGCTCAGGCTGGAGAGCAGTGGTGCAATCATGGCTCACTGTGGCCTCCACCTCCCGGGCTCCAGTGATCCTCTCCACTCAACCTCCAGAGTTGCCGGGACCACAGGCGCCACCACTGCGCCCAGCTTTTTTTTTTTTTTTTTTAAGAGATGAAGTCTCCCTAATGTTGCCCAGGCTGGTCTTGAACTCCTGGCCTCAAGCAGCCTTCCCATTTCAGCCTCCCAAATTGCTGGGATTCCAGGTGTCGGGCACCGCACCTGGCCAATGGGAACACTTTCAAGGGCTGACTGGCCCTGGGTCAGGGAAACACTCAGGTCTTGCCTTTCTGCTCCTTCCCAGATACCCAAGAGCCTCAGCAACCATGAGCGAGACGCAAAGGCCTGGCTGGAGGGTGTGGCTGCCGCTTTCAGAGCCAGTGCTGACCTCCTCTGGGTGCGTGTGAAGGAGAAAACCAGCGGGGCAGAGGTGTGGCCAGGGAGGTCCATGCTTGCTATTTACCCTCGGAAACTTGGCCACACCCCAGCTGTCCCACCAGGATATGGGTGAGCAAGGGCTGGGACCAGTAGCAGGACTGACCCTGCCGGGAACAATGGGAAGGGACTTCGTTCTGGAGATAGCCAGGCTCAATGATCACGGAGATGCCACATCCTGAAGGACACTGATGTCTAGGTGCGCCCGCTTCCAGGAGCCCTGGGTGCCCATGGCCTCTTCCGGCCACAGCCCCCGTCTCCTACCCGCCCCTGTCCCCCGCTACACGCCCTTCCTGCCAGGGTCCTGCTGGAGGAACTCTCCTGGAGAGCTCATAAACGTGAAGCACGTCTCCAGCCCCATCAGCCCCACGCCCCAAAAATAGGCCACGGCTGCTGGAGGCTGGAGTGGCTGAGAGTGTCTTCCCAGGACCACACCTACGTGGCAAGCACTGGGGTGAACATGGCACCTGTGCCCCAGAGCCCAACCCCAGAGGCCCACACAACCCTGGCAGCCCAGCACAGCACTCCCCATCCAGAAGCAGTGCCAGGGCAGGGTGGGGGCTCAGGGCACAGCCAGGTGAGCCCCTACCCACCCCTCCTGGCCAGGGCAGCTCAACACCACCAGGTACAGCCCACAGGTACTAGGCCACTCTCCCACGAGGACTGAAGTCCCTGGTAGCTAGAAGGGGAGTTCAGCCCAGGCCACTGGCAACCATCAGGCGATGGCTCACATGCGGGGCACTCGTTCTGCTAGGAGGGAGGACCCCCAGATGCTGCCCAAGGTGTGGCCTTTGGGGCTGGACAGGGACTGGGCAGGGCTGGGGCAGCACTGCTCAGGCTGTGGCCAAGAAAAGCGCCTGAGGGCCTGAGCCTAGGGCGTCTTGGCAAACTGGGAAGAAATCACTGGAAAATGGCTCAACGGTCACCGGAGAGGATGCCCGAGGCACCACTTCCATCTTTTCCTTGAAGAGCCATAAAAATCTACAAGGAGCTTTGAGGCCAAAGGAATCCAACATGAGGGGCCGGGCACAGTGGCTCACGCCTGTAGCCCCAGCACTTTGGGAGGCCCAGGTGGGCGGATCACTTGAGGTCAGGAGTTTGAGACCAGCCTGGCCAAAAGGGTGAAACCCCGTCTCTACTAAAAATATAAAAATTAGCTGGGCATGGTGGCAGGTACCTGTAATCCCAGCTACTCGGGAGGCTGAGGCAGGAGAATCACTTGAACCCAAGAGGTGGAGGCTGCAGTGAGCCAAGATTGTGCCATTGCACTCCAGTCTGGGCGAC